AAGGCACTTGTTACTACTAGCGTGGCACTTGTTACTACTAGCTTCTTGTTACTAATAGTAAGGCACTTGTTACTACTAGCGTGGCACTTGTTACTACTAGCTTCTTGTTACTAATAGTAAGGCACTTGTTACTAGTAGCGATGCCAGGAGCCCCTAGTAGCTTCTTGTTACTAGAATTCATAGAACTCATGTGAGCGCGACCGAATGAATTTTTAAAAGACAGCCTTGGAATTTGGACTTGTAATGTTTCCTTGCTCCGCCGATTGGTACTTCTTGGCTTCGTCGTTTGCCGTCAGAAAACTGCTCCAACCTGCTCTCTTCCGAACACGAAGGTGTTTTGAACGTCGTGGTGGGCTCCGATGCGGTGTCATTGAGGCGCTGAAACAGGAGTAGTGAACGTGTTTGTTTATTTATTTGTTGTGTGTGTGTTTTCTTTTTAAGAATCATTTTGATTTTCCTTTGATGTAAGAGTTGGACATGCCTGACTAGCTAGTGTCACCAAGCTCATTGTTTGGTACGCATTGACATGTGATTGGAGGCCGGGTGAGATCCTCACGAATCACGACTTGGCAGCTCGGTGCGGTTGTTCCAAACAGCAGATTCAGCCTTTAAACGAGCATTTGTTTGGTTGAATTCACAGATTCTTGTTCTACCGGGAGATGAGATGAATTTAGGGAGTCTGCACCACCTATTGCTTGCTATTAGGTTGGAGGCCATCGCTAGTAGGAACCAAATCACTAGTGCGAGCGTGAGCTATCCTGCGTCCATATGTAGTAGCTTAAGTAGCTACTAGCTACCTCTCCCTTACTTAATTAAGTAGGGAGGGGGGAGCGGGCTATGTTAAAAAAAGGTGCAAACACATTTTTGCTATTAAGGATTCTCTTTCTGTTGGCTGTCGCCTTTGCGGTCAGTCGGTCAGTCATGGCTTTCAAGCCTGTGGAGCAAGTCACCCTAGAGCCGGTCACTAAGGCGATCATCCGAACAACGTTTCTGTGGGGATGTGGGATGTCTTGTGTTTTCCGATGACTCAGGTTGAAAGTTTACTAGTAGTAACAATGTTTGCTATTAGGAACGAGTGCATCGCTACTAGGAACAAGTGCCTTACTACTAGGAGCAAAGGACGCTACTAGGAGCGTCCTTTGCTCCTAGTAGCGATGCACTTGTTCCTAGTAGCGATGCACTCGTTTCTAATAGCAAACATTGTTACTAGCTTCTTGTGTTTTCCGATGACTCAGGTTGAAAGTCTAAATCGAGGCCCAGAGACTCCCGGATCTGCCGTTGAGCATACTTGGTGTTTTTCCCTCGCTAGCTGCCTCGGGCGTCCGAGGGTCGTCTCAAGCACTGAGGTGCGGAAAGTGGTTTTTACTGGCTCCACGGCCATTGGAAGTAAGGCGGGCTGCCGCGGTGGGCCAAACACCCAACTTTGTGAGCTTAGGGCTAGGCGCGTTGCTGTATATATAGCAGCGTCCTTGTTCCTAGTAGCGATGCCAGGGGCCCCTAGTAGCGTTCTTGCTCCTGTAGTCCTTTTTTAGACAAAAGTCTGGGTGGTAGTATGATCCATATAATATACACATGCATGATCAAACACATGTATTGGTTGACCCTTTTTAGGAAGGCCTGCGATGCCACCCAGTGGACATATTGCTGTCTCTTTGGTTCTCTTTCTAACCATTCTTATTCTCAAGACACTAACTTATTTTATGAACTATTCCTAGATCGTCAAACTTATTTTTAGTGCTCTTAAGGCGCTCTAACGTCTTTTTAATGCATCAGAAGGGGCCAATTCTCCCCTCTTTGGCAGTTCCAACTCTGCCAAACAGATAGCAAGTGCATCCGCTAAGTTCGTGGAAATCTAGGAACGCCATCCTTCCAAGTTGTTGTTTTTCATTCTTACCGCACATGCTTGCTTGATCACGGGCCATGATATCGCCTTGTCATGTGCTAACCTTTGACATTCCCTTCTTCCGGATCCCAAAAATAACACGTGGGGAAAGATCTGCCTCAAATGACATGCGAGCTGCGCCAGGTGATGGAAGCTTGTGCGAACAACTTCAAGCGTGTCCTCCTGGAATTGGGAGGTGCCAAGGGTGTTCAGGTGTTCCCTGGGTGTTTTGTGGGTGTTCTGGGTGCTACTTGTAGAGGTGTTCATCTCTTCCAACTTCCTGTAACGGTACCCCACGGTACGCAACGGTACCGGGTTTAGGTGAAGGGCGTCGGGGGTCTGAAGAATCCGGAATTCGAGGTGTCTAGAGGGGCATGCGTCGCTTGGATGGGCCGGTGTGCTCGATAACATGACCTTGGTGAGCGGATGGTTGCTGTTTGCGAAATATGTACAAAACTTGAGGAATGATCTTGGAGTTGGCAAGCCAGTGCCTAATTGAACAAATACTAAAACACTCTTTGGAAAGCTCCGATTCATATGACTTTGAGTTGGTGGTTGAGGAACAAGATAAAGAAACCAGGTTCGATCAGGCGTTACAAAAACCGCCAGGCAACGACCCGGCGATGCTTGGCTGCATTGCGATACTTCTCACAGAAGACCAACCACCTGAGACAAAAACACATGTGTATATATATATATATGTATAATATATAGTAGTAACAAGAAGCTAGTAGTAACGGTGTCTTGCTAGTAGTAACAAGAAGCTACTAGGAACAGGTGCCTTACTAGTAGTAACAAGAAGCTACTAGGAACAGGTGCCTTACTAGTAGTAACATACTCACAGACATGTTTCTATCCTTTCCTGGAACCAAAGGCCATCGCGCGCCCAACTTGGCAGATCTGTCACAATTAGGTTGGAGGCCATCGGCAGTAGGTTGGAGGCCATGGCTCTTAGGTTGGAGGCCACAGGAGGCCATGATATACTATTAGGTTTTGGGCCATCGCTCTTGGGTCGGAGGCCATCACCAGTAGGTTGGAGGCCATCGCTACCAGGTTGGAGGCCATTGCTAGTAGGTTCCTCTGTCGCCTCATGTGTTCCGCTCTGGACGGCAGTCCGTGCCTGCCACCAAATGTTGCTCCCTGTCAGTGCGTACTGTAGTCAAAATCTCACTTACAAAGTAGGAAACAGACCCTTTATGACAGTTAATAGTGGTCAAGGCCAAGGCTGACGTGTTTTGAATGTCTATTTGCTGCACTTGCTGGGTTTTGAGAACCTTTATTCACAGTTTTTTGAAGCCAACCCCCTGGAGGTGAATGCTCTCTGCTTGCTAAGGATTGTACGAGAGGACGCTGACATTGAAAAAACGGCCGAAGGCCTCTTCAAGGGAGCGTAGCTTGGGCTGAGATTTGTAAGGTCAGAAGTTTAGTTAAGAGAGCGGTCTTGTTTTTTGTACTGAGGACCTAAGGCCTTTCTGAACTTCTTGTTATTTATCATCAGTTGGTTTGATCAGATGCCCAACACATGAGTTTCTCAAGCAAGGGTATAAATGTTCTCAGAGAACCTACTTGCTAATTCTTGCAATCCAACTTTGCTCATGGAGTTCTACCACTGCACAAGTTCAGATGACTCATTTGCTGATGCAACACACCAGGTGGTTTTTGATGACTAGTATGTGGCGATGTTGTGTGGATTGCGACCAATCTCCTTCTGCTCGATGGCCTCCGTGGCCTCCAACCCAATAGCGGTGGCCTCCAACCTAATCCCCTTCTCACAGTCCAGCGAACAGCTGTGTCGAATTGCTGAGGTTCTTCAACAATGGACAAACTTGCTGCGCTGCCAAGCGTATCTACGTCCAGGCCATCTTCGCTTCGGGTCCCTGAATCTAGAATCCAAGGTTTGAGCTAAGTAAATTAATAGTAGTAGCTTCTTGTTACTACTAGTAAGGCACTTGTTACTAGAAGCGATGCACTTGTTCCTAGTAGCTTCTTGTTTCCAATAGCTTAGGACCGAACTCATTGGTAAAATCCCGAAGTGCCACATGGAGCTTGATCCGGAGCAAATACAAACAGCCGGTTAGGGAGGTCTGATGTAGGTGGGCAGATTTCTGTTGCGATTTACTGGTCTGTTTTGGACAGAGATACCTAAGCGGCGAAATTGGAAATGCACGTGAGATGACAGCAGGTGTTCAACTGCCAGGTGTTTAGGGAGGTGCACATATCAAGAAGTGTACCAAGTTCCAAAGAAAGGGGACGCGAAGCCCTGTGGCAGAAAAGACCTACAACCTGCGGTTTCGACCCGCTTCCATATTTTTCTCAGTTCTTGTGCTCTGAACGAGAACTGAGACTCACATAACGGAAAGTAACTCCATCGACCACGAGAGCTTTGGGCATCGCTTGTGTCACGACGCCAGAAGCTGCTTTTGTATGGATGTCTTCCAGCTCTCTTTCCAAAAGCCGTCCAAGCTCTCCCCCCCAAATGCTGTGAAGTAGAATGCACTGCGTTCTCCTTCCTTTGATGGCATTTCGACTTCCTTGTCAGCCATGTACTTGAATGCGCGCAGGAAAAGATCTACGACGCATTTGTGGAGGCCAGATGTTGTGCGGCACCTCAATAGCCTTGGTATCCCAGTGAGGCTTTCCATTGACACGACATCTAGCAGGCTGGGTTTGCCAACTAGGTGACATTGCCTTCACGGACAACTTCCAGTCTTACAATAGTAAAACAACCATTTTCAGTAGTTGTATAGAACTACGAGTAGAGTCCTGTGCAGTTTTAGCTGAAGTTTTAGCTTGGTCTATGGAAGAAACCACCCAAGAAGGCCTAACTTGGAGCTTCCCGGGCTCCGCCGCTCCAGGCCTTCTGCAAACGTGCGCGGATGGCAGTCCTGGGGAATGGCCTCTCAGCCACTACGGAGTTGGGGCCTTTGGCGCCTTGGACGAATCGTTTTTTTCTAGGGGGGGTAGGCCGCTAAGAGGTAGTAGCTAGATAGCTAGTAGAAGAGGTAGCTGGTAGGTAATCATTTGGTTTCTAGATGTTTAGGGACACTTAAGCAGCAACGTTTGAATGGTGAATAGGTGGGTGGTGTGTAGTTGGACGGAGTTCAGATGAAGAACCGACGTCAGAGATGGAGTTGCGGTTTTAGATATGAGATTTTCTCGCACTCCTAGGTTCTTTGAATATTCTTCTTAGACGAAGCGGATTTTGTTTGTGTAAACCGTAAACCTCCAAACAAGCTGCTTCTCAAAAGCTTTTGTTTTGACTTGATAAAGCTCAAACAAATCTCAGAATCACTGCTGAGACACAAGGGATGAAGCAAAGGTGCTTGTATCAACCGGGGTGTTGAGTATCAAGGCAAGCTCCATGCTGTGCATGGCCTCCACATAGTGTTCTCTTCAAGATGAGAATGGTGTTCCTAGTAGCATCCTTGCTCCTAGTAGTACGGCCAGGAGCCCCTAGTGGCGTTCTTGCTCCTAGTAGCGACGCCCTTTGCTCCTAGTAGCGTCCTTCCGTGTAACGAGTAGCTGCCGGACTCTGGTGCCTTTACCTGAGGCGAGTGCAGTGCAGCTGAAACATGTGACTGAGTTGGTTGAGGAGATCCAATGGGAGTTCAAAACCATCAGAAACTCAGATCGAACCGTTATGCGTAGAAGTGGAGCTGGTTGAGTGCAAGGTGGGGGGCTCACTGCTCCGAATCACAAAACCCGTGCAAGCTTTGCCTATTAGAGTGTTTGATCTGAAGAGTGCTGGAAGTGGCTTTTAGGTCTTGTAATCCTGAATCAGAGAAAGTTTCTAATAGCTTCTTTGTTACTACTAGTAAGGCACCTGTTACTACTAGCGTGGCACTTGTTACTACTAGCTTCTTGTTTCCGAACAAATCGTGCAACATTTACTTTCGAGACATGGACAGCAGATGTTTCTCAACTCTCCTAGTAACAAGTGCCACGCTAGTAGTAACAGGTGCCTTACTAGTAGGAACAATGTTTGCTATTCGAATTAAATATAAAATTAGTTTAACTCTAATTTGTTACTACTATATAGTAACAGTTTCTGACCAGGATGCTCGCCGCAAGGGTGGCCGCGTTCTGTGTGGTGGGGGTGTGCCTTGGCGCTTTCTTTCGCTAACTGCTACTAACTTTCTGCCTTGTCCAACACGCAGTTTTGCTTTGGCTTTTGCATCCAAACATCGCACCGCTCGCGGATGGACACTCTGCACCGATGCTCGCTGCCTAGGCTACAGCAGGGCCTCCAGGAGATGTGAGCAGCTGGGCTTGGAGCTGGGTGGTGGGGATGCAGAGAGTTGGTTCACAAAGTCGATACACTGGTCGAGCACGACGGTAGGGCGTAGGGCGGTGCGAGATTGGAAAGACACTTCTGGACGGATCAACAAAGGGCATCGCTACTAGGAGCAAGGACGCTACTAGGGGCTCCTTGTTCCATTCATCCCCACCTCAGACAGGTTTGTGTGTGAATGGAGAACCTTTCACACACCAGTTCACCCACCCACTCAGTTTGCACGAGCATCACATGGCGTCACAACATGGCATCATGGGATCACTTCGCTGAGGCTCCAACACGGGACTCTTCTACCTCCCCACCATCGTCGTGGACGTCGCGGAGGCCGAAGAACATCCTGCCCTTTGAGAGCCTGAGTTCCAAATGGCCTCCAAACTTCTAGCCTACTACAGATGGCCTCCGAGCTACTAGTGACGGCCTCCAACGTACTAGCGATGGCCTCCAACCTACTAGTGTTGGCCTGTAACCTCCTAGCGCTGGCCTCCAACCTACTGGTGATGGCCTCGAACCTATTGGCGATGGCCTCCAACCTACTAGTGTTGGCCTGTAACCTCCTAGCGTTGGCCTCCAACCTACTGGCGTTGGCCTCCAACCTATTGGCGATGGCCTCCAACCTAATAGCATTGGCCTCCAACCTAATCGCAATCTGAGTTGCAACCAAGCTGGGATGACAAGGACATTTTGCCCTCCACTCCGACTGTGCCAAGTGTCCCACCTGCATGGGTTCATGCTTCGCCTGTCAGGGCACCCGGATCGTTGACGAGGAACAGTTTGGGCCTGTAGTGCCTGTGATGCCCTACAAGGCACGACTCTCGCAAAGCTGTTTTGGACGATCCAAGAGAACATCAAAATATATTACAGGAAGCTACTAGGAACAAGTGCATCGCTAGTAGTAACAAGTGCCTTACTAGTAGTAACAAGAAGCTATTAGAAACAAGTGCCTTACTTGCGTGAAAGCTTCTCAACAGGACGACGAGGAGGCGATCCTTCGGGCAAACAGCACGAAGTACGGCCTGGGCGCCTCCATTTGGAGCGAAAACTTGGAGAAGGCAACGTGACCGCCACCCTAGTAGCAATGGCCTCCAACCTAATAGCGTCCTTGTTACTAGTAGCTTCTTGCTCCTAGTAGTAAGGCCAGGAGCCCCTAGTAGCGTCCGTGCTCCTAGTAGCGTGGCACTTGTTTCTAATAGCTTCTTGTTACTACTAGTAAGGCCAGGAGCCCCTAGTAGCGTCCGTGCTCCTAGTAGCAATGGCCTCCAACCTTTGCTAGTGATGGCCTCCACGAGAAGGCAACGTGGCAAAGCGCTTTTGCCGATCGTGTTCAGCGCGATGTGGGATGATCAGATACAGCAATGGTTCATTGGCTGCAAAGGTCATCAAGGATGGTGCTTCACTAGTTATTTGATGTCACCTGTACCTTGTCTCCTTGTCTGATTAATGTCACTTTTGCTGTACTCCTAGTCCTGGCCCATGAAGTTCAGGTTCACTGGTTTACTGTTTTGCAAAAGTGCTGTAAAGTTCGAATGATTGGCAATGGCTGATAATGGCCTAATGTGACAGCCTTGAAGTTGATGGCACAGTTTTGCGCTGCATAACATCAACTCTTGTGTGTATATTTCCCCCCTTTGCATTTGCACAAGCTCTTGGTTCATCACAGAGCCTTTTGTCATAGGCGGGGACTTCCTGACAAAGAATCCAACACACCCAGTGTCTCGGTTTGCCGTTGCTGTCCACCCAAATCGGTGTCGTTCACGCAGGCCAATGAGATTGCCAATCGGTTGAAGGCCGGGAAAACTGCTTTGATCACTTCTCGTTGTCAAACCTCAAGCGGAGAAAGCAGAGAACCGTTATTTAAATATATGTATATAATATATAACTAACTCGTCCGATGAGTTGACCGATCGACGGGGACCTGGACATGAAGAATGTCAGATGAGATCAGTGAAAAAACTGCCACTATATAAAGACTAGATATCGAGATTGTTCTATCCCGGATATATCGATTTAACTGTATACACACCTGGATGATGCTTTAGGCGAGGATGGACTTTGCTCTACTCTCCTCTCAAACAGAAGTTGCCGCAAGAAAGATGCTTGCATTTTGACTCGATTTCTACTAGGGGCTCCTGGCCGTACTACTAGGAACAAGAAGCTACTAGGGGCTCCTGGCCTTACTAGAAACAATTACTGTTCGAAATTATTCAGCGCAGCAGAACTATCGGATTCCGTACGGAGGCGGGCACCGTTTGGGTGAACAAGCACTGCGAGTTCATCCGCAACGCACCCTTCGGCGGCATCGACTCCTCGGGCATCGGACGCGCCGGAGACCTGGGCGATCAGGACGAGCGTCTAACGATGACCTCAATTTATTTTAATTCTAATAGCATTCTTGTTACTACTAGTAAGGCCAGGAGCCCCTAGTAGCTTCTTGCTCCTAGTAGCGTGGCACTTGTTTCTAATAGCTTCTTGTTACTACTAGTAAGGCCAGGAGCCCCTAGTAGCTTCTTGCTCCTAGT